TATATATATATATATATATATATATATATATATATATACTTATCTATATCTATGCCAAGAGGACACTCTTGAAGGTGGTGATGATCACACTTTTATTAAAAAACTTGGTAAAAAAAATGGGAAGCCTGCTCTTATTCTCACTGAGGTTGAAACCAGTACTCTCGCGTCCTCTTGGCGATTTGCTCTAGTGGGAAAATTCCTCTATGGTCACCCAAAACTTGATATCATTCGAAAAAGTTTTGATATTATGAAGTTATTGGATAGTTGGAATATTGACTTACTTGGCGGTCGACATATACTGATTCAGTTATCTCACGATGCCGATTACACTCGAATTTTTTTTTGAAAAGTTATCAAGATCGACAACCGTTTTATGAAAATTCTGAAGTGAACTGTCGATTTTGATCCAAAAGCGAAATCCCATATCATTCCTGTTTGGATAAATCTTCCGGGGTTAAAATTACATTTTTTCAACTTGGAAATTTTCTACTCATCAGCAGCTGCTTACGGTAAGCCTCCTAAGGTGGATAATTTTAAGCTTGCTGTCACCAGGTCCTTTGTGACTTGTGTGTTAGTTGAGAGTGATATCACTCAACTAGCTTCGGATGAGGTATGTATTGACATCACTCATAACGAATATTGACAAAAGGTTGAAATAGAACCACACCCTCCTTATTGCTTTCATTGTAGTATGTTTGTCCACAGTTCTATTATTTGCTATCGCTTGCATCCTCATCTAAGACCGGATATCGCTAAAAATCAGCCACCTACCATCCCTTCTGAGAAGGTGCAACCGATTCTCTTTCCAACACTATAGTTTCTGATGAAGAACACCGTACTATAGGTACAGATCCAAATGTGCTTATACAACTCATTGTTATTGAAGAAGACCCACTTACATGCCAAGACACATGAAAGTGCTCATTTGATCCGATAAAAGATCAGCTGATACAATAAGTAGTTGCTTCCAATGTTCAACAACCTACACATGTCCGTCACAGTTTAGATCAATCCACTAATTATGTGAGTCGATCTTCGGATGAGGAATGACATGTCTATTCTAGGGGGTAGAAGCAGAAGGGAAAGAAGAATGGAGACCGACTCAAGCTCGAGAACTTATTGGATGATATATTGGTTACTACTGACATTGACATTCATCTTACCAATTTATTAGCTGACTTCTTTCCTACAACTAGAGGCAGAGGCAAAACAAAATTGGGTCGCTCTTTAGCTTCTTAATACTCTATATTTAGGAATTTTTTGGTTTTTTTCTTTAGGTCTCTCATGTATTTTTTTGTATTTTCTCTTTTTTTGAACCATTTGCATCTTTTTGGAACCATTTGCATCTGGTGCTTATCGTGTGGGCAGGGTGCCATGTTTGGGCCCTCCCACACAATTTATCTGTATCCTATTTTCTGTTTAATATATTACCCCCATTGGGCTTTCTAAAAAAAATGTATATATGCATGTATATATATATATAAATATAATTATTTCATGTCAAAAAGAGCCGAACACGAACAAGAAATCCTTGTTCTTGTTCGACTCATTTATATATCAACGCAAAAAAATTGTTTATGTTCGGCTCATTAATTTAGTGAACAATTCGAACATGAACTATTCGCAAATAACGAGTCATTTTGACAGCCCTATTTATTTCCTCCTTGAAGATAAGAATCAATTTTCATCCTAATTTGAATATTGTCTCCGACTCTTCTGCAATAGTGATTGGAGTTGCTATAAATGCTGTGATTAGTGTTGTTAAAAGGGTATCGTAGGAGTGAAATGAAGCTATGCACTAGTTTTGTGCATATCTTATTTGCGAATTGCAAGTTTGCAAGAAAGCGTATTTGTTGCATTTCTTTGCCGTTTTTTGTCGTAGCGCTACCTTTTCTCATTTTGAAATCCTAGTTCAGATTTCATGGTTCAATTCAACATGTCATATTAACTAGGTATGATTGTTTGCCTTTTCTCATTACTTTTATTATCTTTTAGTCTTTGCGAATTGTTTCTCCATTGGAGCTTATCGCTTCTTGGTAATTTTTACCTTTATGCTCACTCTCCCGTTAGTTCTCATATACTTTTCGATATTTCTTATTATTGGTTCTAGTAGCTTCTAATTCACACTCAATATTTCTTTTCGATGCTTTATGTTTTACATTGCCTCCGTCCCTTATTCTCCTGCTAGTCACTCAATCATGAGTATTTCTTAACTTTTAGTTACATCACTTCTTTATTTATATCTATCATAGCTTTATTTTTTTTGAATTTTTAATTAATATAAATTATTGTTATTCAATAATATATTATTGTATTTGCTAAAAAAACTATTTTCTGCTCTGATTTAAGTTGATTAATTAAATAACTATTATATGCATATAATATATGTATATGCGATAAGAAGACTCATTAACGCTCTTGTTAGTGAAAGCTACGCTTCATTTTGCTTTATGCGCATTGAAGCAAATTGAAATTTTGTTTACTGAATTGAGCTCATTGCGCTCAGCGCTTTGAGTGTCCCATCTCGTAATGATTGCTACACTTCCGCTGCATGCATCAACGACACTGAACTTTCCGATGCAGAACTTTTCAACTTATGGAGCACTGAATAAATTTTAGGAAGATTTACATACATACAACTCAATTCGAATGCATTTACATAACTAACCTCTATACTTCACTTTTTACATAACCTTACTTATGCAGGATGTATTTCACTTTTTAAAAGTTAAAGTGGTGGCTTTGTTTATGTGATATGAAAGATTGGGGTGGTATAAATATGAACAGTAAATTTAGATGTTAGATATGTAAATACATAGGAATTGGGTGGTATGTATGTAAATGCCCCAAAATTTCATTGTTCAACGCAGTTAAATTTTCTTCTTATTGTACCGAACTGGTTTTATAGTGCTACTGCTGCTGCTTATGAGGATCTTTATGGCTGAATCAATTATATTGTTTTATTTTGTGGATGCTTTATAGGGACTGATGATGATCTTCCGCCACCACATCAGAATAGGGGTACAAGAGGACGTATTGCAGTGAATGGAAGAACCGGTGTTGCCCTTCCCTATGCCAGGCCCCAGCTTGATATGGAGACTCAGATACATCAGTTGGAGCAGGAAGCGTACAGTTCAGTTCTCCGGGCGTTTAAAGCTCAATCAGATTTGCTTACCTGGGTATATGTTCATTCATGCTAAAGTCACTGCCTGACAAGCTATTACTACTTTCTTTTCTGCCCATTTTAACTCATGACTACCCGAAATTAATTACCCAGGAAAAGGAAACTTTAATAACTGAACTAAGAACAGAGTTAAAAGTATCTGATATGGAGCACAGAGAACTATTGAGCATGGTTAATGCAGATGATCTTATTAGGAGAATAAGGTATGCTGATGATCAAAGCTCTACCAAATCAACATGCATCGTACTTTATTATTCTGCTCCAGTTCTAATTGTTGGCATGAATTTTTTGATCTGTAAAAGGGAGTGGAGGCAGGCAGGAGGGAGGCAACCTGGTTTGATGAATCATTCACAGCCTGTTCCTGATTCGCTGCCTAGTCCGAGTGTTTCCGGGTCTCGCAAGAGGAAAAATACATCTCAGTCTATACCTTCTTTGCCTATCAATGTGCCATCACCTGCAATGCATTCCCAACCAGTTGCTGCTTCCATGCCACCATCAGTAACTGCTGTAAAACATGGACTTTCCGGAACGAAGGGCAAGCAGCCTAAACCAGTATGCCAACTGTCAACATTATCGTGAAATATAAATTTACATTGGGTTACCATGCTATTCTGAAAATTGTTTGGTTGTGTTTACAACTCTCTTTCAACCATTGACTTAAATAAAAAGGATTCTTTGCAGATTCCCTTCACAGGTCAGAGTGAAAGGGGCCATCTCACAAATAGGGGTGTTCCTGGTGTCATTACGGGAAATGAGCAGCTGGAGACGGGTCCCCAAGATCCCCTGGTTGGGCGAAAAGTAATGACTCGGTGGCCTGAAGACAATAACTTCTATGAGGCTGTTATTACCGACTATGATAAACAGAAGGTAATGTACCGGTGTAATGCTTGTGATTTGGTCATATTTGTCTTTGGATGGGATTCAAACCTTACCATTCTCTATACTGATTTTCAGGGGCTTCATGTTCTTGTATATGATATTAACACAAACAACGAGACGTGGGAATGGGTCAATCTCAAAGAGGTGAATAGCTTTTTTTATTTTACAGAGTTCATTAGTATTGATTTACTTATAGTGACATTCTTGTATGTCATCCTGAGAACTAATAATGCTGAACTTTTTCATATGCGCTTGTATAATTTGATTGCTAGTTTAGCACTAAACGTCAGGTTATATCCTACCTACGTGGCTTATGCTTATCCTAGTTGGTCTGTGCAAGAAAATGTAAAAAATCAAGGTTATAGAGATGGTTTATAGTCAGTTACTATATGCAAAATTTCAAAAACATTCTTTTAGATTAGCTTATTGATTAGGTGCTTATCATCGACATTATCACTGTCATCATCTTTTGTTGCCTTTCCCAATTATCATTATCATTATTATTCTTGTTTAGTGTGACATGAGATTTTAAATTATTTTGTGAAAATACTGTTGCATAATTTCTATCCTTTATGCTGCAGCTCTATTCTTTTTTCCTAATTCATCTGCATCAATTTTATCTCTCCTTTTTTATGAGCATCCAATAAGTAGCCTATTATTTAAATTGTAAAAAAATGTAGTTTTTTATTTGCTTACTATCCTCTTTGCAAGATTTGCGCTTTGTAGTAATATAATCATTATAATTGTTAATATCCTTTTGTCACTCAAGTTTTTTTTTTGATAATTTTTTGGAACTTGCTCTCTCTAATAAGTCTTTGTACAAGTTTTTTGTTTACCCTCTAAAACCTTTTTACCACAATGACACTTCATCTCATAACAAGTTTTAGTTAATGTTTACCTCTCAACAGCATATCCATTGCCTCCCTTTTTTAAGTTTGACCATCCTATTCATTTGCAATTAATATACTTTTATCATTTTTTGAATGCTCTTTAACTCTTTAGATATGCATTTTTTTAACCTCTATATGTTCTATGGTCAAATTCTCAGATAACACCGCAACAATCTTTAAAAATAGTTTATTTTATTATAAGTAAAAGAAGTTTATTTTTTATTTATAGCCTATTGGAAGATCATATTGGCTAATGTGAAATAAAGTGTAGCTTTTCTTTTTATAGCTACATCTTCTATTCTCTTCCCTCTATGAATTCTCTAATAGCTTATCAAATTAGGCCTTGCATGCTTATTCAAGTCACTCGAACAGTTATCCTCTTTCTTTTAAGTATAACAGTTATCCTCTTTCTTTGAAGTATACACTCACCTTTCACATACAAAATGGATGTTCAAATTATATTCTAATCCAACTTGGGGGACATTAACTTTGATCAAATTTATAATGTTCTCATCAATATGTAATTTAATAGCAATAACTTTAGTATTAACCCAATTTGTCTTAATAATTTTATTTTTCAGCTCCATATCTACAACAGTCCTACCTCATTTCTATTATTAACCCTCCAAAAATACCAGTGCTTATAGCACCAATTTTTTCATTTTCTTTTAGTTATGAATAAACGATATTGAATCTCTTAGTCTTTATTTTGCACTTTGTTAATCTTTGTTCTTGCTGAAAGTTGTTTTAGATGGTTTGGTGATGATCTTGTTAGGAGAGCTGATGTTTTAGATTTAACTTTTGATTAGATAGGTAGAGGTAGGCCTAAAATGGCATAGGCATGTTGTATAAAATGATCTTAATCTATTAGAATAAAATGAAATTATGACACTCAATACGACATTATGGAGAAAAAGAATTCATGCAGCTGACACCACTTAGTAGGATATAAAGGCTTTGTTGTTGTTGTTAATCTTTACTCTTTTTGTAGCAACAATTGGATTAAATTGTGACTATTGATATGCATATCCAGTTTAGGAACCGTGGTCTGCTATTACATCTGACGGGGAGAAATAATTCTCCCTTAATTTTCCATGATTGTGTCTTTATTTCTTTTCTTTTTTATCATAATGATTTGATTTTCCCTCTAATTGTATGAGGGGTGGGTTGAACTGTATATATATTTGTTATTTGCTTAATCAAAAAATTATAGAGTTTATTCCACCAAAAAATTTACATGATATTAGAGCATGGAAACAAACCCTAACTCTTCTTTTAGCCGCCAGAGTCCCTTCAATAGCTGTTGAGCAGCCAAAATCTTTCCTATAGTTGGCGGAATTCCTTTGTTTTTGCAGCTAGAATTTCTTAGGTAGGAACGACGGCCTTCTCCAAACAACATCGGTCTTCTCCAGGCAACAACACAGTTTCATGTAGATAGAAGCGGCGGTCTCTTCCAGGTAGCGGCGACACGTGGAATTTTAGATGCCCAACAGATCTATGGCCCATATCAGAGGCCCAGGTGCGTGCATTTGAGCGACTCAGGTTGAAGGCGCATCTGCAACCCATTTTCTCTTTTGAGAGAAATTCACATCACAGAGACCTCATCATTCAAAATTCTCTTTCTAGCCATCATTCGAATTCCTCTTTCTAGCAGAATTCACTGAGAGGCTTGTTGAACAATTTTTTCAATCGCAATTGGAAATTAAAGAGACCTCGACTCCTAGTTTGTATCTCTAGTGTAGATCCTGTGTTAGCGACAAACATTTTCCCTTCTAGGTGTAAATTTTGTGTCAGTTACAGAGAGTTTCTCTTTCTAGTGAAAATCCTGTGCCAACGGAAGACAATTTATTTTTCTTTTTAGAAGTCACTTCTGAATCTGAGCTTAGAATGCTTGATCTGCAACGTCATAAATCTTTTCCCGCATCACCAATCACAAAGTACATGACAACAATATCCTCCAGTGGTTTCAATGTTCATGCACATATATGATAAAGGAAAAGATTATCATCTCACTGAGGAAAATCTTGCACCAGAGATTACTGGTTCTAAACATCAAGATGGAAGATTGAAGATCACATGGTTCATTTCATGACTTGTCGACTCCATGACCACATAGACTAGAGAAAACTTTCTTCTGTATAAAATGTTAAAAAAAAATCTGGGATGTCGTAAGAGAAATCGATTCTAGTGTTGACAATACCTTTGAGTTGTTGGACATTAAAACTATATTACATGACTTGTGACAAGGTGAGTTGAATATTACTCAATACTTCAATACTCTCTCCAAATATTGGCTCCAACTAGATATGTATGAATCATATACATGGAGGAGTTCACAAGGCTACTCTTTTATTAAATAATTGTTGAACAGAAGGGAAAAATTGAGTTCCTTCTAGGACTCAACAAAGAATTAGTTGAAGTCAGAGGAGGAATAATAAGAACTAAATCTCTTCCCTCAATTCGTGAAATCTTTGCTGAATTACAAAGAGAAGAGAGAAGGAAGAAACTCATGATGACATGTAATTTCATTGCAGTAAATATAGCCCGATTTTATACACTCACAAATCACCTCAGGACAACAAATTAAGAGGAACAAACCATGGTATGGACATTGCAAAAACTTGGTCGTTTGAAGTATTGGGAAATTTATGGAAAATATGCAGATTGGAGCGCAACAAAGTCAAAATTGATGGGGAAAATCAGACAAAGAAAGCTTTGAATTAAAACAAGCCTCACGAACATGGTCCATTCAGCAAGGAACAATTTGATGGTCTTTAAGGGATTCCAGGACAATATTTTGAACCTTCTCTAGCACATCAAGACGGTTTTCCATCTGCACTTGTTGCTCTCAATTGGTAGAATCAGCCTTGGATAGTGGACTGGAGCACAAACTACATGACAGGTGATATCACCGCTTTCCAATCTTTTCATTCTTTCAAACGCCATGCTACAATTAGAACTACAAATGGCTCTCTCTCATCTTTGGAAGGAAGAGGAAGCGTGGAACTCAAAAAAAATTATCTTACTCTTTCGTTTGTGATTTATGCTCCAAAACTTCACCGTAATTTACTTTCTATCAGTAAACTCATTCATGACATGAATTTTGTAATTAAATTTCATCTTAATTTATATGAATTTCAGGTGATGGACTCAAGGAAGATGATTGACAATATATACACGTATCACAAACTCTATCTGTTCACTATGACTCCCACTTCAAAAGGACCATCTCATCGTTCACAATTCTTTGAGTCAACTATTGTATCCGAGTCTGTTTCTCATGAGAGTCAAGTTGTGTTATGAAATTTTCCCTCGGGCATCTTACTTTATATTATATTGAAAAATTGTATATCCATTTATTTATCAATATAAAGCCTAGTTCTTATCAGCGTGAAATATTTCAACTTGCTAAACATACTCGACAAGTGTACCCAAGCCTGAAATACAAAATGGGGCTAGGTGGTAGTGATATATGGGGGTTCTCCGAAATTAAAAAAAAAATACAAATCTGGCTAAGTGGTTTGTCACGTTCATTGATGATTGAACTAGAACCACTTGGACCTTTCTCGTGAAGCAAAAAATTTGAAACTGCCAACATATTTGAAACCTTCCATAACATGATTCTCACCTAATTTCAAACCAGTATTCAAATTCTCAAAACCAATAATGTAAGACTACCACAACTCCACTCACAACCTTTATTTGTCCAAAAATGACATCATTTACATAATTTTTGTGTTGATACAAAAAAAAAAAAAAAAATGGTGGTATAGCTGAGAGAAAAAACATACATTTCCTCGAAGTGGCATTGTCAATTCTATTTACTAATAGTATGCCCAAACATTTATGGGTTGATGCAATTTCACATCCATCTATCTTATAAATAGGACACCCAACAAATTGCTAAACTTTAACAAATCTCTCACCCTCATTAAATCCTACCCATATTCAACCTTTCACCTATAAACCACCACTAAAATTATTTTGGTTGCATTGTTTTTGTTCATATACATTAACCTAATCACATGAAACCTGTTCTCAAGAATCAAATGCATCTTTGTGGGCTACTATTCAAACAAGAAATAGTATAAATGCTACTCTCCATAAACACAAATTTTACAACTACATGTATGTCACATTCTTTGAAAACCAAACTAATCACCTCCTTATATCCCCGATTAACCCACTATTGGTCCCACTATCACAAATCAACCTGAAATGAGCTTATTACTTGATTAAATCCTCTCACAGCTC